AGCTTTGATTATACTGGTTTTCATGAGTTCTCCATCTGAAAAAGGTAGGAAGCCATTGCATCGATTTTTGGCAATTGTGGTTGGAAAAAACAAAACCCACCCTTAAAGAGGGTCTCATGTGCCCACCATTCATTTTCATCAAAGCAGCCTTATGTTGGCTACCTCAAAAATATTTATTTCTAACATTCAACTGTTTATGTAGAAATGAGTTGATTTTAAATGAGTCTAACTGGCTTACCCAGCCACTTAATAATGTTGAGAGCATTTGTCATAGTTGGCAGCTGAGGGTCTATTCATACAATTTTGTCACTTAATCTTATGTGCAGAGAAGCACTCATTTATAACATATGGTATATACTGACGATCCAAATCACCATTCATACAGAAAATATGCAAGAGCCAATTTCAATTCATGTTAAAATCAGGTGTTGTGCAATAATGATTAAGTGATGGCAAAAAGTTCAACTTCCCTCATGGCACTGGGCATCTTAATAGCTTCTTGAGGACAAAGCTTTGCCAGGTGGACTCCATGGAGGTGGAGTTTCATCTTCAAGAATAACCTGAAGTTTCTTTTGTTTTTTTTGTATACTTTCGTCCATCTCTTTCTTTTCCTGTTTAAAGTAAAGAAGATTGTGATGATTATTAGCATAGGGCCTGAATAAATGCAAATTAGTTTGTCATTTATTCCTTATAACACTACCTTAGCTTCCTTTACAAAATTACAAATACACTGTAATGCCTATATCTGGTACTTAATTATTACTTATCCGGTGAGAGTTTTGTGTTTTATTACAGTGGGACAAAGTGTAGTTGAAATAAATCCAGCACTTTCATGTCATAAAAACAATGTCATAAGCTACTGATTTTGTTACAGCTTCAAATTAATGTAATGAGGGCAGCACTAAAACAGAAAAAAATAGTCATCCTCTGGGGGACATAGGCGGCATACAAATTTAATGAATGAATTAATGAATGAATGAATGAATGAATGAATGAATGAATGAATGAATGTAGTTCTTATGAGTGTAATTATGTTCTTATTAATTAATATTTTCTACCAGTTTTTTCATTTAAAACAAATCTCTGGTAGAAGAAAAAATATCTAATTAGTGATAATTATAAATACATTGTTTGATATAAATTTTTATTAGCAATTACTATTAATAATATTTTTTACAAAGACAGATACCTTTAGAGAATTAGATTTATCAGAAATGTTCCATGTATAGTTACACAATCACAATAATCTATTAATCTGACTTTAATAAAAGGGCTTATCTGTTTGTCAATCTGACCAGCTAACTAATAGTTTAACAGTCTGGCCAGCCCAACCATAAGCTTTTTCAGAGAAGAGTTAGGTTGGAGTTTGACTTTATCCAAATAATCTCAAGTAAACTGGGTTAAAATGTGTCTGTATGTCTGTATGTCTGTGTATATATATGTATATGTACAGGTAGTCCCCCAGTTTAAGAACAAGTTCCGTTCCCAAACTTAAGTCAAATTTGTATGTAAGCTGGAACAGTATTATTGTATAATATTGTATAAGTAGTA